CCCCAAAACCCCAAAACCCCAAAACCCCACCATCCTAGATCACTCTAAAATCAAGATTTTAGAAATAGTAATAATCTTGATGTGATATATGATATGACATTTAGATATTACGGCTTTAAATAATAAAATAATGTAAACTATTCGAAAGAGACTGCTTTCTAAGTTTGCTTTTGCTTAAAGCCTTAACCTTAAACTCCTTAATCCTTAATCAAATAACTCTACTAAACTTAAAATACTAATAAATGATTGGCTTAGTTAGCAATAAATTAGGAATTAAAACTTAATTTGTAATACAAAAAAGTATTAATATCATTAATAATAACCCAATATGGTTGAATCTGTAAGTAAAGATATATAGCATGCAATTGCTAATGCAAAATATGTACATAAGCTAAACATTTAAATAGACACTTTAAGTTGACTATGTCAAGAAATACAATAGAGTAAAATGCGAAGATTTACTTAAGAGGAAGTTTTTCTATGTACCAAGTTTCGAAATCTATGGTGGCGTAGCTGGTCTTTATGACTATGGTCCATTAGGCTCTCAGTTGAAGAGCAATGTTGAGCAATAATGGAGACAACACTTTGTATTAGAGGAAGACATGCTTGAAGTTACCTGTTCAAACCTCACTCTTGATGAAGTCCTCAAAACTTCTGTAAGTATCAATTCAGATTCTGAGCTAAAGCTATCAATGATTGAGGATAATAAGCTAATTCTAATAAATAGGGACACGTTGATAAGTTCGCTGACTTTATGGTCAAGGACACCAAGACAGGTACTTGCCACAGAGCTGATAAGTTGATTGAAGAGCACATCACTAAAGTACTTGGAAAGAAGAAGGATATGAAGCAAGAGGAGAAATTAAATCTACTTAAATTGTAAGATGATGCTGGCTCAATGGGTCCTGCATAACTTGATGAAACTATCAAGTAACTTGGTATCAAAGCACCAGACACTAACAATGAATTATCTGAAGCTCAACCATTCAATCTTATGTTTGAAACTTTGATAGGTCCAACTGGTCAACTAAAAGGTTATTTAAGACCAGAGACTGCTCAGGGTATCTTCATTAACTTCAGAAGACTTCTCGAGTTTAACAATGGTAGAATGCCATTCGCTGCTGCTTAAATTGGTCTTGGTTACAGAAATGAAATTCATCCAAAATAAGGTTTACTTAGAGTGAGAGAATTCACCATGGCTGAAATTGAACACTTCGTAGACCCAACTAACAAGCAACATCACAAATTCAATAGAGTTAAGGACATGAGACTCCCATTATACTCCTCAGATAATCAAATATAGAACACCAGAGTTATAATCAGAGATCTCAGTCTTGGCGATGCTGTTGCACAATAAGTTATAAATAATGAGACTCTTGCTTACTTCATGGCTAGAACTTATCAATTCTTGATGAGTGTTGGTATAAAAGATGAAGCAATTAGATTCAGACAACACAGACCAGATGAAATGGCTCATTATGCTTAAGATTGCTGGGATGCTGAAGTAGAGACCTCTTATGGTTGGATTGAAATTGCAGGTCATGCAGACAGATCATGCTTTGATCTAACCCGTCATTCAGCCAGAACAAAGACTGAACTCGTTGCTGCCAGGTACTTGAAAGAACCAAAGCCAATTAAACTCGTTAAACACACTGTAAACAGCAAAGAAGTTGGTAAGGTTTTCAAGCAAGATTCAAAGGCAATCAAGGAATATATTGATGAAGCCCCAGAAGAGAGAAAGCAGCAACTACTTGCAGAAATGAATGAGAACAATCAAATTTCAATTAAAGTCAATGATAAGGACTTTGTTCTTACTAAAGATCATGTTACTTTTGAAGTCATTGACAAGATTCTTTAAGAAGAAAAGTATGTCCCTTCAGTAATCGAACCATCTTTTGGTAAGTTTATACTTGTAAAATTATTACTATTAGGTATTGGTAGAATTGTATATTGTATCTTCGAGCATTGCTTCAAGCAAAGAGCAGAAGATGCCCAAAGAACCTATTTCACATTCCCACCTTTGATAGCTCCAGTGAAATGCTCTATTCTTCCTTTAATGGACAAGCCTGACCTGAATAGATTTGTTCAAGACATCAGTAAGTTTAATTACAGCTATTTACTAATTTCATTATGTAGAATCGATGCTTACTAGAGCTGGTGTTTCCTCAAAGATTGATGACTCAGGTTAAACCATTGGTAAGAGATATGCTCGTACTGATGAGTGCGGTATTCCATTTGCAATTACAGTCGACTTCGACACCCTCACTGAAGAGTCTGTTACCCTAAGAGATCTCCATACCATGAAGCAAGTTAGAATGAAGATTACAGACCTACCTTCAAATATTACTCAATTGTCATATGGCATCAAGACTTGGGATGAAGTTCTTCAACAATACCCACTATTCTAGTCAGGTGCTGCTGCTGAATGATGTTGACTCAAAGAATAATTTATTGCAGTTTATTGGAACAGCATAACCACTATCTTTCCTTAAGAATTAAAATAAATCCAATTTTATTATAAGTTATTATTTTAGGTATATTAATGATTTAATCCTTATATCCTATGAAAGTAACAATTAATTTATAAACTCTTCAGATATATTGATTGCATCTATGATCTGCGTTCTATATTCATCTGCGACCTCCAGCTGGTCTTCTTTTGCTAGTTAAGACTGGGACGTCTCTTCCCTATCTTCTGGCAGCAGCTCTTCTATCCTCCTCTTCAGCCTGTTTCTCCATTTCCTCCCAAGAGAGACCCTCCTCTGACAATTCCTCTTCACTATCGAAGTCAGAACTTGACATTTCATCATCATCATCGTCATCTGAGAAGTCGCTCTCGCTTGATAAACTTTCCACTTCATCTTCTTCTACTACAAACTCCTTATCTTCATCTTCCTCATCTTCATCATCGCTTTCTTGATCCTAAACATATTGATTACTCATTGATCAAACTTACATCATCTTGTAGGAATTTCCAGCCTCCTTCTTCTAAGAATGCCTCAAAGTCCTCTCTTATTTATTACAGTACATTAGCCCAGTTCATTGGAATAATGCTTTCAGAGTATATAATACCGATCTCATCTAAATAACTTTTAATGGTCTCGATATGCTCAATAGGAATAGAGTTTATTCTTTTGAAGTTTGTAAAATCCTTGAATATTATAGCCATATCAAAGTTTTTAATACCAAATTGCAGTCTTTCAAAATGGACAGTTTCAATTTCATCAATGTCAATCACAAAGAATGGATACTCACTGATGGCAATGAGGCAGTTCTTAGTTGGTCTTACTTTGACAACTGATTTGTTTGGGCAACCGTAGAAATCAATTTCATCGAATGGAATATCAAACTCAATATTTGCTCTATTCTTTGAAGCAACTTATTCAACAAGTTTAACAAAGCCAGCAAATCTAGCATTCAGCTTGATCTTTTGTTGTCTTTCTCTTTCCTCTTACTCAAGTTCATCCATATCGTTGAGTCTTTTTCTGGCTGATTTCATGTCAAGATCATCAGCAGCAACTCCTGCTTCTTTAAAGAATTGAACATCAGTTACTTTTTTGGTTCCAACCATTATTGGATTCTTAAGATGGAAGTGAATAATAACAATGAGCTCATCTTCTGCACACGGCTAATAGAAAGCGTGCTTGATATTTGAGAAAGTAATGTCTACATTATGCCCCTTCTATGAGGTAAATCTTACTCCATTCTAATGAATTTCCAAATTACCTACAGTTTTTTTGCCAACAATATTAGGCCTGATAACTAGGTTCTCTAGCAGTTCCTTTTTACCCTTGATTGTGATTAGCTCCTCAGAAGAATCTACTTATGCCTCATTATTTTTGACATTTTCCTCTTGTTCTTGTGACTTTACTTTCTTAATAAGATCCTTAATTTGCTTGAAAGCATTATTGAGATGATTTTCTCCACCTCTTGAGAGATTTTTCAAAGTTAGCTCTTTTACAAACAAAGATTGTGGCTCATTTTAAGCTGGGAATTGTAGGGTTGATCCACCTGGAATGTGGAAATTTAATCTTAAGAAAGTCCACTAACCTTCTTGTGTAGTTGAGACATTCTTAATAGTAGCAACGTGGAAAGGAACAAACGAGTTTTGGTTAACAGGTACAAGGATACTGTCATGAGCTTTGTCGACGTAAAGAAGGCCTGGCTTGATATCTCTAGGGAATTACTTTTCATTCTGATAAGATTATATCTAGCCCATCTTTTTGACCTTTTCTTTTTTTGAAGTTTGAACTATCTCACCGTTCTCATATCTCTTCTTAAGTTCCTCCAATTTCTTAGCAATAAGGTATTCCTAGGATTTCTTACGTTATTCCTCATTATTGTGCTGGTCTACATTCTTAGTTCTTAATCTGGAGGAAGTAAATAAGTCTGTTTTGGCGTTTCTCAGAATGTCATCCTTCGATGGCTTATCATTCTTGTTATCATCCTTCATTTTTACATCTTCGTCATCTTACTGTGAAAAATATTTTAGGTATTGTAAGCTTACATCTAGAGAATATGAGATCTCATTGTATTTCCTTTAGATTGCTTGTGTAAGAATTGTTGCCTTACCCTCAGAATCAATCAGAACAGTCTCACCAATAGCTATAATAGACCTTGATGGTTTCTTGTTGACTTCTGTGAGTGTAATTTTGACATGGAATGCCATGTTATTTCTTACAAGTGTCTCATTAGTCTCGTTGATCAGAAGCAAGTCTTCCTTAATGTACCAGCCAATCTATTTATACATTTAGAAACTTAAATATTACTCCAAAACCAAGATTGGTATGTAATCTAGATGCGAGATTAGAATCTTTTTCCTTAATAAACTTCTTTGCCTCTGAATAGGCATTCTTTATAGGTTGTCCTACAATCAAATTTTTAATGACTACATCTAAGGCTTCGAATGCGATATTATACGCTTTCTTCTAGTCATCTTAGGGATTTACAATAAGAGTTCTGCCTGCCATTACATTCATGTCCTAATACTTGCCACAAACATTCAAATAAATGGTCTCATGATTGAGTTTGTTACTATCACTTTAAACATTAAGCTTGTTTAAAGTGAAATTGTCTCCACTCTGGACCAACACTGACAAAGGGTACTCAAGGAAAGTAGACTCCACACCTGGATTAGCTTTGAGGAATTTATCAAGCTTTTTCTCATCCTCGAGCATGTTCTCAACCTTTTTAGAAATGGTCTCATGCTTTACTTGCTTCTCAATCTCAATAATATCCTCAATCTCATTGACAAGGTTGTCAAAAGTCCACTTTACAAATTTAGCTGCAATCCTCATATTGTCAACTTCAGGCTTAATTTTGACCATGTTCACTTTATCGATGAAATCCTTGAGTTCTTGCTTCATCATGCCCTTGTCTTCAAGAGCTTAAAGTACTTACTAGGTAATCTCTCCATCTTCCTAATCCTTTAGGAAAACTCCTACTTTGGCTGGTGAAGCCTTGATGTGCGATAGAAGTTGTTTTATGACTTCAGATGTGTTATCCTACTTTGGATCTCTCACTAAGATCTCAAGTGAGGGTCCTTTGTAGTCTTCAGGCTACCTCATCTAGTCCAAAATTTGCTCTATAGAAGTAATTAGGGATCAAATAATGCTTTAAAATGTTGGCGCCTACTCTTTTTTGGGGATACCGCAAAAACAATTTTTTCTTTTGTGATGAGAAGAATAGTCTCAGGGAACTCATAATTAAGTAGCCAAATGCTATAACATGATAAAGAGTTAGGAAAATCGAAAATTTGTTGGCAATTGATTCTTACAAGAAGTCTGAGGTAAGAGGCCTCTTTGATCCGTCTCCGATCTTGCCTAAAACAAAAAGAAGTGCATCTTTGGAATCATGGACCTATAATGGGGTTTATGGTCAGACATATTGGTTTTCAAGGTCGGAGTCTTAAAATTACCTAATTCCATGTTTGGAGTATCTTTTGGACCTTTTCGAAAAAGGTTTGACTGTCTAGCTTGATTTGATCGGACATAAGTTCGAATGTTGGAAGTTGATTTCAATTATAATTACATTAGTTTATCACTCTAATCATTATCAAGTTTCATGATGGGGTTTTGGGGTTTTGGGGTTTTGGGGTTTTGGG